AGTCACTCGCGTGTCCCAGTATCTACTAACGTACATGTGTTTATGTATAGGCGAAGACGTTCATAGTCTTGCTTTAATATATGTGTATACATTTATAAGAATATTTTATATGTATCTCTTTTAGTTCTTAAGACGTAAATATATATCTGCCAAGTTCGTAAAGGCAACTAGAATTCCACGTATTTTGTTACCATCTAGCGGGATCATCAGTGTCATCCACAGAGAGATGATGTTTTGATTTTTATAACGCCAAAGTACTTTCTTTAGCAAAACCATATGGCACATCGTGTTTATCCTGTAACATAAGACACAAAGTAACGAAATTATTCACGACAGAAAACCAGACATCTTAAATCTGTTTCTTTCATGTTGGTTTAAGAACATGTAATTTAAACCTTAAAAGCCGAACTTATTTTTTAAGAATGTATTCCGTACCGTAAATAATACGCAGTTCTTTACCATTAAAATGATGATCATCTTAATGGTGCTTAAGGAAAATCTCGTTGTGTCTTTAAAAAAACTAAAAATACGAATTGAATGCTACAATTTGACTATTTGTCTTTCAAGATCCTTCACAAACTTTGGAACGTAATCGAAAGCCATAAGCATGGTCCAGCCAAGTTAACAATTTCGAATATCGAATGTGCAGATATTCTTTTTGGTTACTTTCCCCGCCTTACTACTTCTTCATGTTGGCCTAGCCGGTGATTGACTCCAAGACGGTGCAATTTCGCAACCCCACTAGCGTTTCAGTGCTTTCTCCTTGCTCAAAAGTGTCTACATAAGGCACTCCGCTGGTTCATTTCAAGCTGCTCTTTCATGTGGTGTGGCAATTTAGTTTCTCCCTTCCTACCGTGAAAAATACAGTGCATACAGAGCTACATAACCAGAGTAAAGATGAGATTCCTTGGTTCTCAGACTAAGAACAACAACAACAACAACAAGATTTCTCGTACTTGGTCTACATGTTTACATATAACCGCGCGAAATATGTGTTTTTCGTTCACAGTGGTAATACTATTAAACGAGACGATATAATAAATATAAGGCAAGAAAAGTATATCGTAAATTAAAGACAAACTAATACTGATTCTTTAAACATGAAGGTAATTTATGAAACTAACATAGGTCTCCTGCAGGAGCCTGTATTGAACCAGCTTAATCCAATAAATCTCATTACATCCTACATCCGTACGTGTATTTTAATATTAACGTCTCATAAATTACCTATCCCCTTTGAACCAAAATCTTGAACACGTTTCTTTATTTACATGTCCCTGCTGCATGCCCCGCCCACCAAACCCTCCTCATCCTAACACTATTACACGAAGACTACATACAATGAAGTTCCATATTATGTAACATCTTTCCTGCAACGTCTCTCTTAGTAGGGTTTTATATTTTCGCGGCGGTGATTTCAAAGATAAATGTCTTCTGGGTTGTCGTGCCATATCCTAACATAACACGTCCTCATCTCACCTAACCTAACTTGACCTCGCAGAAACTTGAATGAAATAACCCCACCACATTCTCGGACTTCACAAATTTCAGAGTTTCATGATATAAAAATGCTAAAACAAAATACTTAGGCGTCCCGTTCTTCAGTGTCTTGAGCACCTGCGGGCCTTGATCTATAGACATTAGGTAGCACTCCTTGGACGAGGGATCGGCCCATCGCAAGGCCTCTACCTACACACAGGACAACACAACACAGAAAGACGCGAACAAACATCCATGCCATGAGTGGGATTGGAACCCACGGTCCCATTGACCAAGCGGCACAAGGCCCACGCCTCAGACCACGCGGCCTCTGTGGCGGCGTTAAAAAGTAATATTCCTCAAAAATCTAAATATGAATTTTATTAAGACTTAAAAAATTCTATATCTTCTAAATTTTTAAAATTTAAGAATGCCCACAATTTTATAATTTTCAAAGTTTTTCGAAATTTCAAAATTTAAAACAAAAATGTAACGCTTACCGAGTTCAAAATTATCATATTTGAAAGTCATAGTATTAAAAATATATTAAAATTGGCCGTCAATCACAATATAAGATAATTAAAAGATTAAAATATCATTTTTCGTTCCGTATCGAGTACTCGATTTACATGTGGAACATTTACGACATGTTTCGGCTATCATAGAGCCGTCATCAGGTGTTATGTTATAAACTTTTTAACTGAATTACTGATTTATAATGCTTTTTAGTTTTCATTTCATTTTCTCGTTCTTCATATTGTATCTTCATCCGTTGTTGTGTCACATGTCTAATATAATTGCATGTCGTAGTGATGCCAATGTTGTGTATATTGGACTGTGAATTAAAGGTTTCAAAACTATTAATGAAAATTGAATATAGAAAACAAAATAAATAGATGAAAGTAATCATATAAACTTACCCGAGAAGTAATATCGTAGCAATATTAGGAGAGATTGGAGGTATACTGTATCGGATCGTGGCTGGTTACCGACTGCGGTGCTAGTGGGTGAAAGGGGGGTTG